CCCTGCTCTGTGCTGCTCGATGACAAGAATTCATTTTCATTCTTATCAGCCCTGCTCTGTGCTGCTCGATGACCAGCATTCATCATCAGTCTCATCAGCCCTGCTCTGTGCTGCTCGATGACAAGAATTCATTTTCATTCTTATCAGCCCTGCTCTGTGCTGCTCGATGACCAGCATTCATCATCAGTCTCATCAGCCCTGCTCTGTGCTGCTCGATGACAAGAATTCATCATCATTCTTATCAGCCCTGCTCTGTGCTGCTCGATGACCAGCATTCATCATCAGTCTCATCAGCCCTGCTCTGTGCTGCTCGATGACAAGAATTCATTTTCATTCTTATCAGCCCTGCTCTGTGCTGCTCGATGACCAGCATTCATCATCAGTCTCATCAGCCCTACTCTGTGCTGCTCGATGACCAGCATTCATCGCCATTCTTATCAGCCCCGCTCTGTGTTGATCGATGACCAGCATTCATCGCCATTCTTATCAGCTCTGCTCTGTGCTGCTCGATGACCAGTGAATTTAATGTATTTGTTTGGAGTTGACTCAGTTAATGATTTCTTCTTAGTAGTTGTTTCATTTTACTGATGTAAATTGTGCAGTTATTTCAGAATGTTCTGAACAGGGCCTGTACTGTCTTGCAGAACGTTGTGTCAAAGAACGCGCTGCAGTACAGGGGTAACGCCCAGCATGACGCCCAGGAGTTCCTGCTCTGGCTTCTGGACCGGGTTCATGAGGATCTCAACCACCTCGTCCACCCCAGCAACAGATCCTCCATCAAGGTGAGCACTGGACTCCTGTGTCTGCATCCTGCTGCCAAAGGTGACACAGGATGGGCCGAAACAGAGACGTGTAGCTTTCAAGAACAGGACTATGCCTTTTATACTGTGAGGCGGTCCTTATGCATTGTGCTGAATTACCTGTTTCTGCAGGACATGCTAAATGCATTTAGGGAAACAAGTGCCTCAATTACCGTTAAGGTGACGAATGCTTCACCGAGAAAGGAGAGAGACCTGGACTGGGACTGCATGTCTGAGCTTAAAGTAACCATTCTTAATCTATGTTCCCGGTTTGGATGTATCTCGGCGACTCTCTCTCATATAGGTAATGAGATACGGCAGCCCTGGCTGGACCTGTGACGAGAAGCTGCGCTAAAGCGTGATATATAAAACTGCCTGCACTAAGAGTGGAATGTTCAGTCTATTTTAGTGATGTTAGACAAGCCTTAAATGTCACAGGTTATTAAGAGGAGAATCGTGATTCTCCAGAAACGGCTCATTTATGCTAGGAAAGGAGAATGCTCTGCATGTGTTGAGGTGCCCTGAGTGCCGAGCAAGTGGTGGGAGAAACGTGTGAATCCCACAACGGGTGTGGTTACCTCGGACTGAACGCAGCAAGCTGTGCAGGTGGTGATGGCTGGCCTCGGGTCATCTTATTCTCCTCAGAGTGTGAAGCAATGTTTCTACCATCAGTACGGAGAGAATTTAATCTGGACTGGTCTGCATTGAGGCAGTAGGATGATTTACAGCTGCAGGTCATGCTGGAGCTCCAGGCAGAGGACTGCCAGGCCCAGTCCATACTGCCAGGCCACAGCTGGGCACATGTGTATGGTTGCAGGTGTTGCTTCATGCTGCAGGTCTGAAGGCGTGTTTCCTAATTTGGGTCTAATGGCTGCTGCTTTTCTCTATAACATTTTGGTTGGGGCCTAAAGATCTGGGTGTGTCTGGAACAGTAGAACCCTCAGGTGTACTGTCGCCTCTTCTCCCCGATTGCCAACATTCTGCCTTCTACAAAGCTTCAGCCTGTGTTGATTTTTTTTTTCTTTTGTTTTCCCTGGTGTTCATTCTCATGGTGAGATAGCAGGGAGTTCTTTTTGACTGTGTACTCTATGTCCTGTCGGTTGCTGTGTGCTCTCTGTACTGTCGGCTGTTCTCTAGCAGAGGATTAATGCTTAAATCCTGCCCCCCCTCCTCCCCCTCCCCCTCAGCCGCCCCTGGTGGAGGATGACAGATCTCTTGAAGGACCCACTCTGCCCCTGTCCGCTGGCTCCTTCGTGCAGGAGCTCTTCCAAGCCCAGTATAGGTATGTCTACCCGCTGTGCAGTGCTGAACACCTTAAATTGATGAGCTCCAAGTCCTGAAGCCCGGCCTCCTGGCATGGGAATAGCGAGCGGCTTTTCGCTGATTCAGATGAATCTCAGCGGTGCTTTGTGAGTGGGTGGAGGCAGGCAACACTGTCTCTGGTTTTATGCTGTGTATAAATCTTTTCGATAATGAACGCCTGCTTTTGTGATCGCCGGCGCTGAATTCTCTCGTTCTGACGTGCAGGTCGTCGCTCACCTGTCCACATTGCCAGAAGCAAAGCAACACCTTCGACCCGTTCCTCTGCATATCCCTTCCGATCCCCCTACCTCATACTCGGTAAGCACTCCTACAAACAGCCTTTTCGGGGCCTTTCTGTGCTTCTGTGTCAAAATAATTCACACATTGGATTTTTGTTTTGCATTTTTGCTTAGGGGGCACTGTGTGGCTCAGGGGGTTAGGCCTCTGCGCCTGTGATCAGAAGGTTGCCGGTTCTAATCCTGTCCTCAGCAGAATAGTCATCAGGCTCTCAATCATGGCCTTCAAACCCAGAAATACTTCAGGGACGCTAGATTAATGGCCTGATCCTGCACTCAAGCACCAAGCTTCACCTCGTTTCCTTATACTGAGGAACCTTTCTGCTGCTAATTTGGCCGTCAGGATCAAAACTTCCAGTCATCAGTCAGTTAGTCCCTGTGATCAGGATGGAGGGCTTGATAGCTCAAACCACTCTTTCTTTTGCTGTGCTGCTTCACTGTTATGAAGCACAGACAAAAACCTCCTTTAATTTGCGTATAAGGAAACAGCCGGTTTATAAAGTGCCCGTCATCCTGATCTATTTTGTGAAATCAAGCGTGATGGTGACCTATGGCTGTTTAGGCCTGTGCTGTGAATTTAACTTGCCCAGAAAGATGATCTTCTCAGCACTTGTGTCTATATGGCTTCAGTTTCATGTCCCTCTGAACTGTCTGACATCTGAAAGTAACACACTCCATGCCAGTTAAAGTTTTTTCTCGGAATACTCTGGGTGTATTTTTAAAGATGCATATACAAAGCAGAGGTCACCTTATTTTCTGCAGAATAAAGACAGTTCATCTGTACCATCCACTTGCCCAGCTATAGCTATTTAGACACTATCCCAGGATGCAAAGGGCCGGTCAGGATTTCAGACACATGGTATGAAAAGCCAGTACATCTGAAAAGTAAGTTTTTTGGGCTACAGGAAGAAAGAGATTACCCGTACGAAGACAGGAAGTGTGCGCATGTGGAGCTAAGACTGCTTACAAATCGTTGCGTCAACTTGTTAATCTGCCAGAACAAATATAGGCAGTTGGGTGTCTGTGCCGATGTGAAGCAGGTAAAGTATATTGCGCAGTGGTGCAATAACCTTGCAACATATCTGTAACGGTACCTCACATAAATATAAAAAGTTCAGCTCCCTACTGCTGTGCCACGATGCCATCTGCTATGAAATCTTGATAGGGCTTGTCAGGGGTTATTAGTGAAAAAAGTTAACCCTTGGCTGCCTGAACCAAAACAGCAAAACAAAAAGAATTTGGGCACTACTGTTATAGTAGTACATAATCACTTTTATGTAATCAGCTGTTTTAGCAGTATTTATTGAAATTTGTATCCATGTAGTCTTGGTATTATACCGGACAATATTATTCGGATCATTGCATTTTAGGTTTATCACGTGTATTTTTTCAGAAATTGTCGGAAATTCACCAACTTTAGATCATCTGAATAGTTCAATTGGATATACAAAGCTGTTCAGTTGAGAAAAAAATTGTCAACTTAAGAAAATATACCCGGGGCAGTATTTATGCCTTACTGTAGGGACTCTCGTACACAGCCCTTAGCAGTGCTGAGGGCCTCTAAGCGGCTCATGGCAGCATCTGTCAGACTCCTGCACCTTTGCTGGTATGGCTTATGTTGCAAAATATTTCATATATCACTATATGATCTTTTGCCAAGAAATATTGTAATATTTATAAAGGAAAAAGAGGTGAAAAGTTGGTCATAATGGTCATATCCATTGAGCGAGCGGGGGAATTACGTAGTGAGGAATCAGGGTCAGGCAGACAAAGATCCAGGAAACGGGGTTTATTAAGGTAGAAACGACAAGGCAAGGTACATACAGGAAACAACGTCAATGACTGGACTGGGGAAACAGACTTGAACACGGAGTTAAATACCCAGGACTGAATAGGAGTAACAAGAAACAGCTGGTCACAATCGGGATTGCACGAGCAGGTCATGACAGAACCCCCCCCCCAACCCCGGGGCACCGGAAACAGAACGGACACACAGAACAGGCACAGGGACAAGAAGCAGGACAACCACTGACAGACCACGGGGAACGCAGTCAGGCTTAGGGGCACCTAAAAAGGAGACACAGGGGGAACACCAACAGGAGGAACAAAAGGCCCATGAGTGAACACAGGAGACAGAGGGATGAGAAGCAGACACAGGAGGCCAGAAGGGAAAGGACGGGGGATAACGGGAAGCCTGAGGGAACCCCAGCGGGCGAGTGGTGGAAGCACCACTCAGCAGCAGCGAGGCAGGAGCAGGAGTGGACCTCGTAGGGGGCGAGGAGGCAGGCAGAGGCACAGGTGAAGGTGACGAGGAGGAAGGCGAAGGGGCTGGTGGAGAAGGCGAGGAGGAAGCCGTAGCTGTTGTAGGCAGAGGCGCAGCCACAGCCGGCTCAGACAAAGGCATGGGCGACCGACGAGTCACAGGCATGGGACCCGCAGGCGGTCGAGGAGGCGCCGAGGACCTGTGACGAGTGGTTCAAGGGTATAGTCAGAGTAATCCCCAAGGGGTCCCACTCAAGCTCCTCTGCCAGCTCCATCAAGGAGGGAGGAGCGGTGGTCAGGCCATCAGGGGCCTCCTTGGGGATAGGGACTGGGGCCATGGAAGCCGGGGACACGGGAGCAGGGTCCGGAATCAGGGAGACTGGCGGAGAGTTGGGAATGTGGGGGACTGGAACCGGGGGGGACTAGAACTGGAGGGTCAGGAGGCCGAGGAGCTGCCGCCGAGGGGTCAGGGACGAAGGGGCCTGAGGCCGAGGGACCAGGGAAGGTGGTGCAAGGGCCACCAGGATGGGAACCGCTGGGGATGGCACGTCATCCTCTGGGACCGGGTCCTCGCGGGGCGGCGCGTCGGCCACTGGGACTGGAACCTTGTTCAGGCTCCTGAGGTCCCCGTGTCCAAGAACCTCAGGCGCGGGGACCTCGGGTGCCGGAACAGGAACCTCGGGGCCAAGAGCAGGAACCTTGGGAACCTCAGGAGGCAGTGCAGGAGCCATTGGGCCAGGAACCACGGAGGGCGCTGCAGGGGCCGCCGGGCTGGGAACCCTGGGGCTAGCTCAGCGGGAACCACGGGAGGTTGCACATCGGGAACCACAGGTGGTGGCACAGGAACCTCCAGGGGCGCAGCCGGAACGGGCGGCGCACAAACCTCTGGTGCCGCAGCCGGAACGGGCACGTCAGGAATATCGGGGAGTTTAACTTAGACTACAGACACAGGAACCATGGGGCCCCAAGCAGGAACTGGAACCACAGAGGACAAAGCAGGAACTGGAACCACGGGGGCGAAGCTGTAGCCATCGGCGCAGGAACCTCAGGGACTTCTGCAGGAACCGCCGACATGGCACCTCAAGGGGCACTGCAGGAACCACCGGCACAGGAACCACGGGGGGCACTGCAGGCACCGCTGGCACAGGAACCACAGGGGGCACCGCAGGAACCGTCGGCACCGGAACCTGGAGAGGCACCACAGGACTCACTGGCACTGGAAACTCCAGGGGTGTTGCAGGACTCACTGGCACAGGAACCATGGCGGGGGTTGCACCTCGGGGGAAGTGGATGTGCCTGCCGAGGAAACCAGCTCGGTCCTCAACTGGAGCAGCTTCCTCAGGTATTCCGCCATTCACTCCATTTCACAAGGCAGAGAAGTTGGAGTGAAGGCTGCAAGCTCCCCTTGCAACCGTCTACAGAGCGGGACAGCTTCTGGGCAGTTTTGCACTGCTGGATCCCCCATCACCCACCAGTATAGCCCCTGAAGGGCAAAGAATTGTCAGGCCAGGGTCTCGGGTGTAGATGAGGCAACAGGCAGCTGGGCCTTCTTTCGTGGAGTAGATACAGCAGGGACGACGGGCAGTTCAGGCTACCTGGACGGCAGGAGAGGCAACCCTCCACGGTCCAGATACACTTGTCTGATCATACACTCTGCCACTCCACTCCTAAGCTGCCTTTAGCTTTCATGCACTTCCCTCGCAAGGTGTGGGTCTTCGGCCTGGGTCCTCTCGAGGCTGTCCCTTGCCCAGGTAGCAAGGGTTCGTGCCACGGGGTCATCTCGGACCTCAGGCTGCTGTAGCCAATAAATCACCTTAGTAGTCAAATCGAGATATTCCTCTTCTGTGAGGGAAGGCGTTTTTTTTGGCGAGTCCAGTCTTTCTGTCATATCTATCGGGCGAATGGGGGAATTGAAGAGCGACTTGAACACGGACTTAAATACACAGGACTGAATGGGAATAACAAGAAACAGCTGATCACAATCGGGATTGCACTCGAGGTTAATGAGGGGGCGTGGCACACAGGAGGATTGTACGAGCAGGTCATGACAATAACAAACTACAGCTGAACAGAACTTATCTATCAACAGAGTCTCTCATATAAGTTGTGTTGCAACAAGTTATGCCAATAGACACAAAACAGGGCTGACAGATCTCTTGCTTTTGCTCAGTATTGTTTCCATGGAATCCAAAATATTTTGATACACTGGAAGATAATGTCCAAGGGTGTACTATCCATGAGGCTAATGTCCATGGGTGGACTCTCCACGAGCCTAATGTCCAGGGGTGGACTCTCCACGAGCCTAATGTCCAGGAGTGTGCTCTCCACAAGGTTAATGTCCAGGGGTGTACTCTCCATGAGCCTAATGTCCAGGGGTGGACTCTCCATGAGCCTAATATCCAGGAGTGTGCTCTCCACGAGCCTAATGTCCAGGTGTGTGCTCTCCATGAGCCTAATGTCCAGGGGTGGACTCTCCATGAGCCTAATGTCCAGGAGTATGCTCTCCACGAGGCTAATGTCCAGGGGTGGACTCTCCATAACACAGCTGCCTGAGGACCCATGAAGACAGAATTTTCAGAAGTTATGTTTATCAATCTAAGATAATGACAATATAAATTACAGCAGCATTTTTTTTGTTTGCATTTTTAGCAAGAGTTTTCAGGATAGACAAAATTGACCCCTGTCCTGGCTGTAATGGTTTGTTCTTACCCAGCTTTCTTGTCACACTGGAGTCTAGTGGTACAAATTGTTTCACTTCCAAATGAGCCAGCACAAGGTAGCCTAATAGAAGAAGAAACTACACGAAGATACAAGACTAACATTCTCCCTGAGGGAACCCCAGCGGGCGAGTGGTGGAAGCACCACTCAGCAGCAGCGAGGCAGGAGCAGGAGTGGACCTCGTAGGGGGCGAGGAGGCAGGCAGAGGCACAGGTGAAGGTGACGAGGAGGAAGGCGAAGGGGCTGGTGGAGAAGGCGAGGAGGAAGCCGTAGCTGTTGTAGGCAGAGGCGCAGCCACAGCCGGCTCAGACAAAGGCATGGGCGACCGACGAGTCACAGGCATGGGACCCGCAGGCGGTCGAGGAGGCGCCGAGGACCTGTGACGAGTGGTTCAAGGGTATAGTCAGAGTAATCCCCAAGGGGTCCCACTCAAGCTCCTCTGCCAGCTCCATCAAGGAGGGAGGAGCGGTGGTCAGGCCATCAGGGGCCTCCTTGGGGATAGGGACTGGGGCCATGGAAGCCGGGGACACGGGAGCAGGGTCCGGAATCAGGGAGACTGGCGGAGAGTTGGGAATGTGGGGGACTGGAACCGGGGGGGACTAGAACTGGAGGGTCAGGAGGCCGAGGAGCTGCTGCCGAGGGGTCAGGGACGAAGGGGCCTGAGGCCGAGGGACCAGGGAAGGTGGCGCAAGGGCCACCAGGATGGGAACCGCTGGGGATGGCACGTCATCCTCTGGGACCGGGTCCTCGCGGGGCGGTGCGTCGGCCACCGGGACTGGAACCTTGTTCAGGCTCCTGAGGTCCCCGTGTCCAAGAACCTCAGGCGCGGGGACCTCGGGCGCCGGAACAGGAACCTCGGGGCCAAGAGCAGGAACCTTGGGAACCTCAGGAGGCAGTGCAGGAGCCATTGGGCCAGGAACCACGGAGGGCGCTGCAGGGGCCGCCGGGCTGGGAACCCTGGGGCTAGCTCAGCGGGAACCACGGGAGGTGGCACATCGGGAACCACAGGTCCCTCACAGAAGAGGAATATCTCGATTTGACTACTAAGGTGATTTATTGGCTACAGCAGCCTGAGGTCCGAGATGACCCCGTGGCACGAACCCTTGCTACCTTGGCAAGGGACAGCCTCGAGAGGACCCAGGCCGAAGACCCACACCTTGCAAGGGAAGTGCATGAAAGCCAGCACAAGGTAGCCTAATAGAAGAAGAAACTACACGAAGATACAAGACTAACATTATGTCTCCAGTGTCTATGATGATATCCCACTTGAAGGGTAGACGAATTGTGAACAGATGTTGAGAGAACACAATTAAATGTGTGTTTGCAAAATATTGAGACTAAATTTTGCCGCTGACACCCCACGCTTTGATTAGCAAATTATTGATGTTCCATTGTTTTAAATTCCCTTCTGTTTCTCTTTTGGCTCCAGAAAATAGCTGTAATGGTGCCTTAGGGGTCCTTCCCCATGTCAGCCTAGGTCCTGCTGAAGTATTTTGATGACCAGGTCATCTTTCATTTTCCCTTCCTCACTCATTTTGCTTAAATTTCCCAAAATGCGCCATACTGTGAGTCCAACAGCACAGAAGCAAATGGAAAATGCAAAGCGGCAGCAGTAAACTTTTAAACACATGCAAACATGCAAACATATGTAATTTTGAGAAATTGCAAAGCTTGCTCAGTTTTGTTTGCCACAACAGAGTAAATATGTTGTAGCGAAATGTATTGAAGGTATCCATGCGACAAATTTTAACATGGGAACCCCACCCCCCCCGCACCCCCATTTGGCAAGTTTTATGGAAATGATTTCAAATAGTGCATTGCTCAAATCACGTTGCTTTGTAAAATATGTGGTGTAATGCCTGGGCTGTATGAATGTATGAAAACTAGATACTGCTGAAATCCAACCTCAACCCAGCTGGCTTTTGCAGTCCTTGCAATGTGACGGTTGCAAATGCATGACATGCAAATTCTAAATTGGCATGCACATTTCGCTCTTAGATAAGATAAGAACTTTATTTATCCCAAGGGAAATTATTTTGTCTTAAACATGCTCAGTGCAGCAAGAGTAATAAAAATGACAGTAAAGAGCTTAAAAAGAACAGTAGTAATAGTGCAAACAGGATAACAAAATAAATCTAACAAATAACTATAACATATATAATAAAATAACAGATAATTAGTGCAAGTGGTTATGAAAAGTGACTTAGTGTTTGTGCCATGAATAAAATTATAGCAGCTTGTGATGAGGGGATGAAAACAAACATTGAGTAGCATACCGGTGAGAAATGGTGAGAAATGGTGAAAAAGATCACCTACAGAAGGGGGATGAGTTATATCCTCCTGAGACCCAAGGAAAAAAGTGTGCTTCAGTTTTAGGTTAATTGTGATTTTGTGTGTCTTTGGAGGAAATAAGATATCTTTTTTCAAATTTATTTTTATTTTTAATTTCACAGCAATATGATATATGCAAAAACAAAATGTCCACTACAACGGACATAAATTAATGGGTGGGGTCTGAGGAGGATACACTTATTGCCACAAGTAGAAAGGATTTCCTGTAGCGTTCGGTTCTGCATCTGCAGGCAATGAGTCTTTTACTCTTGCTCCGATGATCCACCATGGGGTTGTCCATGATACTGAGAAGCTTTTTCAGCATTCTCCTCTCAGACACCTCTGCCAGGTTCTCCAGTCTGATACCCAGGACAGAACCAGCCTTTTTAATCAGCTTCTTCAGCCTGTTGGCATCAGCTGTCTTCACCGCACTGCCCCGGCACACAGCTGCAAATATCCTGTTAATTCCCCCATTGCATGATTCCCTTAATATGTTAAGGTGGATACCAGAAGGATTTTGATTTTATTTAGGTATATTTTGGGAAAGGTGGGTTGTACCTTTCTGTGGGCTCCTCCTCAGCTGCCTTCCTCCATTGTCTTTGATCTGAAATGTCAGAGAAGTATGTATGGACCAATACTGTTTCATTGTCCATTTTCTCCCATATATATGTTGGATGCCAAAAATGCTATATCTGATCTGCAATGTTAATGTTATAAGATTTTGAAAACCGTTGTGGTAAACCTTAAGGTTGCGTGGTCATGAAGCAGAGGAAATGCTCTTTGTGTGGGGTGGGGATGTTGACCAAATTGCACAGAAACCAGGGACTGTGGTTCAGCGAAACGGCGTGACTGTGAGGGAAGTGATGATGGTGCCTATATAGCTCATTATGTCTGAACAACTGCCTGCAGGGAAACAGTCACTGACATTTTAATGCAACCATTTGTTTGTTTTCTTGTTGACATTCACAGCCTTTCACTGTTTTCCATACAGTGTTAGTCAGTGCTGCTAAGGATCATGATGACGTTTGAATGTTTTTAGCTATCCCATGTGTCTGGGAGGTTTGTGTATGTGTGTGTGTGTGTGTGTGTGGGGGGGGGGGTGTCGAGTCAGACCATCAGTGTTCTTTGAATAATTAATTTGATTGCAGCATAAACTGTATTCAGTGCATAGGACAGGACTCCTGCCAAGTGGTCCTGACTCTTTATTTGATAGAGGCCTGGTGAGCAGGCCCGACTCGCTATTTGATAGAGGCCTGGTGAGCAGGCCCGACTCGCTATTTGATAGAGGCCTGGTGAGCAGGCCCGACTCGCTATTTG